CTTCCTCTGGGATCCCAGGAAGTGTCCCTTCCAGCAGGTAACTGAGCTAATGCATGTGGATTCCATTCTACATCTGGACATCCCTGTATGTCCAGAGACCAGTAACCTCAGGGGACTTGGGGGTCAATGCTGCATACACAGGCACTGAGCCAGAGACAAAGACCATGGTGAGAGAGGTGCGGTCCCGCGCCCCCCCCCCCCCCCCCGCTGAGCCTCTGATCCTCCATCCGTGCACCAGGCTGCTCCCAGAGGGGGTGTCTCCACCCAGCTCTTGCACCCTTGCACACACCTGGCACACAGACTCCAGTTACAGCCAACTCAGAGTGTGATGGCTGAAGGCTGGTGGTGCAGGGTCCACTTCTGTCCGGCTTCAACTATCATATTTGCCATCTGGAATTTTCTATCTCCTTGTACAGATACCTTCAAAACACTTTTGGAAAGAAAAAATAAAAAAGAGCCTGACTCTTCCTTTGTGTCCACACACAGCTAGGAGAAGGAAGGGAGCTGGAGTCTGCTCCTCACCTTTACTCAGGCTCACCTGGTCACCTCCGACCTCTTTATTGCTCAGGAATTGTTCCCTAGAAACAGGTGGCACCTAACCTTGTTCTTCCTTAAGGCTGTAGGCACAAAGATAAGGGTGACCAGGAATCTCACTCTCTAGTTCCAGACCCCAAAAGGCGCCAAAAAGTCTCCAACCACCTCCCAAACCTGCAGTGCAGCTGGGATTCTGGGAACAGTAGAGCCCTGAAGGACAGACTACCACCCCGTGAGGTCCCCAGGAAGAGCAATTATATCCACCCCAGGGACACTGCACCTGGACTCAGAGTAATTAGCTCTGGAAGGTCTGATTGTCCCCTCAGGCAGTGAGGACTTCACCAGGTTGTAAAAACACAGCAGAAGCTGGGTGGTGGTACTCCAGAGGCAGAGGCAGGTGGTTCTCTGTGAGTTCAGGACCAGCCTGGCCTACAGTGTGGTTTCAGGACGGCCAGGGCTGTTACACAGAGAAACCCTGTCTCAAAAAAATACCAAAGCCAAAAACAAACAAACACAGCAGAAACTGGCCAGCGAGGCCACCTTGGCCAGGAAGCCTTAGCTGTGCACGCGTCTTGCTCACGCTCCAATTCTCCTGCTTTAAAACTCAAAACTCAGTCAGTTTGCGAAGTTGAGAGTGAGGAGTGTGTTCACTGATTAAATCTCTCTCTTTTCCCCAAGTTCACCCTCTCATTGGTATTTTGGGATGAGGGGCCAAGTACAGCCTGTTGAGGTTGCTGGGCCAAGAGTCTGGGACCTAAAAGTTAACTTGGAGCATTCACTCTTGGAGTGGAAGCGTGTCCGGCTTTATCTGCCTTACCAAAAGCAAGTTCAAAATTAAGGTATAAGGTTAAATATAGGGTCTCAATCCCAGTATGTGATGGGTTCTGTGGCTCAGGAGAGATGTCTTCTTCTGAGGGCTCCATGGGTGGAGGGTCCTGGCTCAGCCATGCCAGAGTCCTGTTTCTTGGCAGTGAGAAGCCCTAACTACCCTCCAGCCACTTCCAGATGTGGTTGGGGTCACCCCTGCCTTCAAGAACTTGAATGCTCTGAGCTGTGCCCGGGCTGAAGTGATATGACTGGGCATTCATAGGGATATGGACTATATGTAGTTTCTGTCACTTAGCCCTGCTGGTCTCAGCTCGGAGTGCTTTGAGGGTGTGTGGCCGAATTGCGCATTTCTAGAGCGCCAGGCGCCCTCTTGAGGATTCTTGGAGAATTGCATTACGTGTGTGTGTGTGTGTGTGTGTGTGTGTGTGTGTGTGTGTGTGTGTGCTTGCACGTGCATGTGTGTGTATACACACACACGCTATCCTCTCGGGTTTTTTCTCCTTCCTTTACTGCCCCGGCCCTTCCAGTTCGTTCTCCCCACCTTTCTTCCTGGAGACAGAGTCTTCAGTTTGGGGTACCTCTCCTACTAAGAATCCAGCATGCACCAGATCCTGCCCCGGCACCAAAAGGCTTTGGTGACACTGATTTGAAATTGCCTATGCAAAACATCATTTCCACTTAGGATATTTTTGGCCTTTTTTCCCCCCCCTAAATGCGATTTAGGTGCCTCCAGCATCTTTTCAGTAACTAAATCTAAAATCATAAACATCTCCAGCTAGAGCTGTGTGGCTGGGGTGAGGGCTGTAACACCCCCCATGCGCATCTTCCTCCCTCTCTCCTAGGATTGCCCAGGCACTTCCCTGTGTCAGGCCCCATCCTTCCTTCCTCTATCCATGGAAGGGACCTGGCTTCACTCACCGCTTTCCTTCAAGCTGAGTCAAGAGTGTAGATCACATTGCTTCTCTTTGCCCCAGCTGGCCCTGTCTTCCAGCCAGCCAGATCTCTAGGTCTGCCCTGAGGCCCAGCAGTGAAGAGCGCTGCCAGGATCAGACTGAGTGTGGAGTTCATCATTCCTTTCTGTTGGAGTAAAGAACCGACACCCTCCATGGGAATGGCTGCCCTCGGCCCTTGACACTGTCTACAGATGCTTTCCGAGAGTCAAGCCATCAAGTTTCCTCACGCTAGCACAAACCCAGCAGACCCTGGCTTGACGGGTTATCCTGGCACTTGGGAGGGTGAGATGAGGCCAGCCTGGGCTATGTCTGAAAGAAGAGGGCGGGGAAGCCCCACTCTAGGTAAATCCCGAGGCAGCAGTGCCAAGGCCAGGGGACCAAAGCCGAAGTTCATTTCGAGGTACACAGCGACAGACTCCAAAGGCGATTGGAAAAGGAAAGAGACTTTGAGGAGGGAATGGCCCTGTGGAACCAGCAAAAATGACCATAGTCTCACCTCCTTGCCCTGCCCCCACCTGCACCTGCCCAGCTGGCAGCTGCACTAGGCTGAGAGTGGACACAGAATGGGGAGAGCACAAGTCACAGCCTGGTCCCTGGGTCTGGGGGGAATTTAACACTGGAACTGGGTCTATCTCAAACTCCAGCTCTTTGACGATGTGGGGGAAGGTGAACTCAGGCTGGTCCTGCTGGTGTCTGCTGCAGGGGGAGGGTGTGCGCACTGTTATAAAAAGGTCCTGATGTATGTAGGCTTCAGCCGGCTTGGGGGATGGGCTGAAGTTATTTCTGGCACGTGATGCTATATCAAGTGTGCTCATGTTAACAGTCTCCATAAGTAAACTGGAGATGTGAGGCAGGAGGATCACAAGTTCAAGGCCAGGCCATGTAGCGGGACTGTCTAATCTGACAACAGCGAGACAGAACCGAGCGAATAACGGCCACCATGGTCAAAGCCAGGCCTAACGGCTCTGCCTGTGATGCCAGTGTTTGGTAGGCTAAGGCAGGAGGGCAGCTGTGAGTTCAAGGCTAGCCTGGGCTGCACAGTGAGTTCCAGGCCAGCCTTAGCAATATCTCTTTAAACAGCTCCAACAAAAGCTCGTGGAAATGAGGAGCCCACTCTTCCTGAGACTGGAGGAGAGACCTGGGTTCAGCTGCCCACTTCGGGGTCTCCAGAGCTTGACCCCAGGATCCTCTTGGGATGCTGACCAACACAGAGCAGGGACTTGGGGGCTGTTGTTACAGTGGAGTGGGGTGGAGGAGAGGAAAAATCAAATGAGAGCTCAATCTGCTTTTCCAGCATTTTCCTCTGAGACACCAAAGAAGCCCCGTGAGAGAAGGAAGGGTCTGAACATGGACTGAGACCCTCTGCTTTGGCCAAATGCTTGCTTCTGGGCAATGGAGGCATTTTAAAAACAGGAAAGTGTTTTTGAAATATCACCCTGAAGCTGGGTGTGGTGGCTCAGGTAACGTCAGTGCTCAGGGGGCTGAGACAAAAGGCTTGCTGAACTCTAAATGTTTCAGGCCAGCCTGGACTACATAGGATGTTCCAGGGAGCCTGGGTACAGTGTATAAACACTGTCTCAAAAGAGCAAGCTGGAGACACCCAAACCCACAGAGAGAGATACAGAGACAGACACAGACAGACAGACAGACAGACAGACACAGAGAGAGCTCAGTAATTAAGTTGATTACCTCACAAGTGCCAAGAACCCGAGTTCGGATTCCCAGAACCCCTATGAAAGTTCATGCTGTCATCTCCCTGACAACGGGATGGGAGATACAGGAAGTGTCACAGACATCCCTGGTCAGCTAGCCCATACCCTTCTTAGTGACATCCCAGGTCCATGAGAGACCCTACCTCAAACAAAGGAAAAGGTGCCTGAGGAAGGACACTTGAGGCTGTCCTCGGATCTCCACATGAAAACACACACATGCACACCCCACGCCCACATAGATACACCCCCACACATGAACGTGCACATACAACAACCAGGTAAGCAAAAGGCCACAGCTGCTGAGGCCAGAAGTCTGACAGCCAGTGCGCCAGGAGGACATCTCCTTCTCAGGGCTCAGAGCACGCTCTGCTCTGCTGCCTTACCTCACCCTGGACTTGCCTGGCTGTGGAGGCCCGGAGTCAGTACGCCCACCTCCCACGGGGCACACTCCCAGATAACCCATTTGCCACAAAGCTCTTTCCTCTTCCCTGTGCCCAACTTTTATTGTTCTCACAAGGAACCAATTGAATCTGCCAAGTCCCTGCTTCAGAATAAGACCACAGTTCCAGAAACTAGGAATATTGTGTGTGTGTGTGTGTGTGTGTGTATGCTATGGCACATGTATGATAGCAGACAACTTTAAATCAGCTCTCTCCACCTTTACAGGAGCTCCAGGGATCTGACTCAGGTCAGCAGATTTGCAAGGCAAAGCGTCTTTACTCCCTGGGCCATCTTGCTAGCCCAAGTAAGTTAACTTTCCTCAGGCTCTTCCCCCATTCCTTGGCCAGTGCTGAGGAGTGAACCCAGGACTGGCCTTCTGCATGCCAGGCAAGCACCCCCGCCCCGATCTACATCCCTACTCCTCTGGAAACAGACCTTTTGGAGCAACGTGAGTCAACACACAGCAGTGGTTACGAGCCTTCCCCCAGAACTCCAGAGCCTATAGTTGTCAATGAGCGGTCACAGGCCAAAGTCTAGGACAATCTTTATTGGAGCTTGGAATGTTATAGCAATTCACCTGACTCAGGCAAACTGAGAATGAGCAGCAGCGGTGACAGACACCAGCAGCGGGGGTGTCCTGGCTACATTAGGACTCCTGCTCGCCGGCAAGCAGGACACGGCGCGCATACACACACACACACACACACACACACACTCCTACACAAACTTACACTCACACTGGCTCACTCCCTCCTGGGTGAGTCTGAGGCCAGGCAACTCAGCCTGCTCCACACCTCTTGGAGAAGGCTCATCCACCTCTTGGGGCATCTGCTAAGCCAAGCCTGAAGGGACCACTGGTGGCCCCTGGGGTGGAGGAGCTGGAAGCGGCAGATGCCTTGCAGTTTGGGAGAAGGGGATGCAGGACAAGGGATGGGTGGGGGGCAGAGCGAAGAGGCTGCAAAGACAACAGATGGGACAAGGGCATCTCCTCTCCTCCACCCATTCCAACCTCGCAGCACGGCCAGCGCCCTGGGCACAGAAAAGTCTGGGTAGCATCAAGGGGGCCCCCTGTGTCCTAGGAAGGCACTGAAATGGGGAGCAAATCTGGGGAACCTGGCATCTCCCCAAAACACGCCCAGAAGAGGAGGATGGCTGAGCGAGAAGGGTTTGACATGCCAGCTGCTGGGGTAACAAGACTGGGAAGCCCAGATTCCACTTCCACCCCGATGGTGGAGCGGGAGAGCGCTGAGATACAGCCCCTCTGGCCAGCAGAGGGGGAAAGGGCTGGAGGCTTGGCTGCCCCTCTGCCCTCAAGGGCAGTGAGAGTGAACCTGAGCTCACCCATATGTCCATGGTAGGAAGAGGGGCAGGAGTGAGGACCCAGAGTCTCCTGCCCCGAGGCCAGGGCTACCAAAGCACGGCACCATCCAGGTTCCCATAGCCTGGCTCAGCACGCAGCCTCCAGTATGTATGGTTGGTCACCCACCACTCCTTGCCGCTGCTATCTGTCTGCCGCCTGGGGGAAAAGCACCAGTAGGTGTGGGTAGAGGATGGTAGAACGCAGTCTAGTTCCCGGTGCTGCCTCCCACAAACTACTCTAAGCAGAAGGCGGTAATGAGGAGCCGGGCTGCAGAGGGACCCAGAACGGCGGGTGGGGCGGGCGGGGGATGAGGCACCTGAAGAAGCGTGCCTGGTGCACTATGTTGTTCTCCTCCATCACTCTCCTCCGGTCTCGCTGGAGCTGCTCTATCCTCCTCTTCTGGGCCTCCGCTGCCTGTATGTTCCCCTCCTCCAGGTACCTGATGATCCAGACATCAGGCAGTGAACTGGCTAGCCTCAGGGGTTCCCAGAGCTGAGGTCCCTGCCCCTTTTCCATTTTAAGGAGTTCCTAGGGAGGTCAGCCAGGCACCGACCTCTGGTCAGGCCGGAGCCGTGTGTCAGTGGAAGGCAGGGTCCGTTTCAGCTCTGCGGTCAGCTCATTCAGCTCCAAGGCAAACTGAGTGAAGCCGAAGTTTCGCTCATGGTCTGGGGGCATTGAATCTGGGGGAGGCAAGGGGCTGGGGCAGGTGGACTGTGGTACAGCCACCCTCACCCTCTTCAGTCCTCCTGGACACCCCACTTACTGGGTTTCCAAAGGCACTGCCCACCCGGTGGGAGGCCGCGGTACAGCCCCTCATGCCATTTCCCGAAGAGGCGGTGGAGGACGCGCCCACTGCGGCTAAGTACGGCGCCTTGCACCTCGTGGATGTTGGAGCTCCAGTACTTGGCCTAGGGTGGAGAAGGTGGGAGTGAGTGAGGGGCTCTCCCCCTTCCCCAGAGGAGAAGCCTCTCCAGGTGGAGAGGTGGGGTGGGCGCGCGGCTGCGCCTACCTTGCAGAAGGTGATCTTGCAATGGCAGGAGTTATCCTGTGTGTTTCGGATAAGCACCTCTCCATAGTGCTCGATCCAGCGCTGGCCACTGAGGATGTTGTGGATACAGGACGTCACCTTGTTCCACTCAAAGTGGTCCCCAAACCTGAGAGAGACAGGGCACGTGAGAGCAGCAGTCAACCAGCCCTGGGAAACAGGTGGTCTGTTAATGGAGATGCCCCTTTCTTCCTGTATCAAGTCACAAGGGCGGGAAGGAGGAGTGCCGAGGTCCGGCACCAGCTATGAGAAGTGCGACTCTTGTTCATAAACTCAGTCCCCATAACAGAACACTCCAGTGAACAAGTCTGGATTCCATAACAAAGTTCCCAAGTGCACGGGTCACGGAAATAAGACTACAGAAGGGTCCCTGCCACTCTTTCGTTTTGTTCTGGGATTTTTTGAGACAGGGTCTCACTGTGTAGCCTTGGCTGGCCTCGGGACTTGCTGCATAGCCCGGGCTGCTTTGAACCCACAGATACCTACTTGCTTCAGTGTGCACCACCAAACCAGGCCCCTGTCACTCTTAGTGAAAGGCCTCCTTCTCCTTTAGCTTCTGCTATCTGTCTGTGTCTCCGTCTATCTCTCTCTCTTAGGTTTTTGAGACAGGGTTTCTCTGTGTAGCCCTGACTGTCCTGGAACTCATTTTGGAGGCAGGGCTGCCTCTGATCCCCAAGATTAAAGGCACGCACCACCACACCCGGCTGAGATGAGGGTTTTCAAGCATGGTTTGTGATCCATTCGTTCCAGCATCCATTTAGATTTCTGTGTGTGTGTGCGTGCGTGTGTGTGCGTGCGTGTGTGCGTGCGTGTGTGCGGTGTGTGTGTGCGTGTGTGTGTGTGTGCGTGCGTGTGTGCGGTGAGTGTGCGTGTGTGTGTGCGTGTGCGCGTGTGCGTGCGTGTGTGTGCGTGCGTGTGTGTGTGTGTGTGTGTGTGTTGGGGGTGGGGATGCCTCGTTTCCATAGATTTGAAGTCTCAAGTGCGTTTCTTGAGGTGAGTCATGATCAAAAAGTTGTGAAAGACACTTAAGTCAGATGACCTCGTTAAGCACCCACCCCGGTTCTCAGGCTTCTCGCCTTCTTCACAGTAACCGCTGCAGACGCAGGTGTAAAATGTACAGACACCGCCGCCTGCTGTCACCTCCAGCAGCTCCAGGCTAGACCAGGCCCCACTCCCAGGAGAAGGCCCGTGGCCAGGCCCAGCCCCTGGAATTTACAGTACTCACCTGGGCAGGCTGACGTTGACGGTCCCCACAGGCACAATCTCCAGGGATTTGCCCCAGAACTTGTTCTTCCACTTCATGTCTGGGGGGGGGGGGGCGGGAGGGGGAGAGGGAGGAAGCAGACATAAGGCCAGAGTGATCCAGATTGTTCCAGCCACCCCCGCACCCCGCCACCCATAACCTTCATGCCCATCCAACCCTGCACCTTGCCAGAAGATGAAGTTCTCCGATTCTGCATGACATGCGGAGATCGGGGGATGATGGGAGACCTTGATAAACAAACAAACAAACAAAAGTCCTTAACACTGCCCCTGAGGAGCTTGGGGTCTTCTTAACCTGGCCTCCACCCTGATTCTCTGATTCCTACCTAGTTTCAGGGGAATCAGTTAACTCTTGTTTGTTTGATCTTTGAGACAGGGTTTCTCTGTGTAGTCTTGGCTGTCCTGGACTCGTTCTATAGAACAGGCTGACCTCAAATTCACAGAGATCCGCCTCCCTCTGCCTCCCAAGTGCTAGGACTACAGGTCTGCGCCACCACTGCCCAGCTTGAATGGGTTAATTCTAAGCCATTTGCTTCTGCAATCTCCAGGCACCATCCACGTTCATTATCATCTCTGTCCCCCACTGGGCCCATGTTCTCCTTGATCACTGGCCTCGCTGGTCACCCTGATCAACTCTGCTGATGGAGCCCTCAAAAAGCAGCCCTGCTTTGGCACAGACATTCCCTGCAACATACCCAACAGGGCCTCCAACCCATGCAGGAAAAGGCAACTCCTTCCACTCTGGCCTCATCCCTGCTACCTGCTCCCCTCCGAGCCTTCCAGGCTGGCAGTTCTTCCTTCATGGCTCCACAGCCCTCCCACACAGCTTCCCTTCTGTCCTTCCTTCCACATGACCCCTTCTCTACAAACAAAAGGGTTTCCTGCATCTCCCATCCGAAGCAGCCAGCCTTCCCTTTATTTTCCCACACAAATATTCGTAGCGCTTTTATTCATAATACCCCCAACAGGAAACAATTCAAACGTCAATCAAAAAGGAAACAAGCAAACTGTTGTGCGTTCACACAAAGGGATATTCATTAATAAAAGGAATACACTATTGGCACACTCAACAATATGAATAAGGCTTTATGCTGAGTGAAAGGAGCCACCAATGAGTACACACGCCATGACTGCATTTTCAGCCTCCCCCTTCTAGACAGGCATGTCTCTGTTGGCATCTGTGCCCATCATTTCCGGCAGGATAGTAGCAGAAGTCCCCTCCCTAGGTCAGAATGGGAAGATTCTATTGTACACATTAATCTGCTGTGTAAAATTTGCACCCTCTTTAATCCCTGATCTCAGGAGGCAGAGAAAGATCTACATAGCAAGTTCAAGGCCAGCCAGGGTTACACAGTAAGACCCTGTCTCAAAAAACAAAGCAAACAACACCAACAAAAACTAAATAAAAGAATGAGTTGTCTCAGCCTTTCATATTCCCTCTGATGCCCATCCTTTTCTCCTCCCTCTGGTGCCCACGCTTTTTTCCTCCCTCTGGTGCCCACCTTTTTCTCTGCTTTCCCTTGTGATTACATTTCTTGAAAATAATCTGCATTTCTTCTAGTTTTAAATTAATTTTTTAAGATTTATTTATTACACATACAGTATTCTGCATGCAGGCATGCTTGCATGCCAGAAGAGGACATCATATCTCATTATAGATGGTTGTGAGCCACCATGTGGTTGGCTGAGAATTGAACTCAGAACCTCTGGAAGAGTAGGCAGTGCTCTTAACCCCTGAGCCAATCTGTCCAGCCCCTTAAATTATTTTTTTTTCTTAAAAATTTAGCTGGGGTGGGCAGTGGTGCTGTATACCATTAATCTCATCACTGAGAGGCAAGAGGCAGAAGGATCTCTGAGAGTTCAAGGCTAGTCTAGTGTTCAGGGCAAGTTCCAGGACAGTCAGGGTTATACAGAGAAACCCTATCTCAAAAAACAAACAAACAAACAAAAGTTTACATGGATGTATGTTTGCCTGTATGTATGTATATGTACATGTGCTTGCAAAGACCAGAAGAGGGCATGAGATCTCCTGGAACTGGAATTACAGTTGGTTGTAAGCCACACTGTGGTGGTAGAAACAGAACTTGGGGTTCTCTACAAGAACAGTGAGTGCTCTTAATCCCTGAGCCATCTCTCCAGTCCCTAGTTTAAAACACACACACACACACACACACACACACACACACACACACTCACTCAGAGGTAGAAAGAGGGATCAACAGTTAAGAGCATATACTGGGCAGCTCCTCAAAACATCCTGTAGCTACAGCTCCAGAGAAATCCAACACCTTCTGGCTGCCTAGGGCACTAAATTCATATGCTCACACACACAAACACCACATACACACACACACACACACACACACATAAATTCATATGCTCACACACATATATACATACATTTAAAAAAATTTAAATGGAGGCGGTGCTGGAGAGACTGCACAGTTAAGAGCCTTGGCTGCTTTCCTAAGGGTCTTACTATGCAAATAAATAAATCCAGTACCCATACGGCAGCTTATACACATCTGTTCCTCCAGTTCCAGGGGACCTGGCGTCCTCTTTTGTCCTTTACAGCACCATGTATGCAAGTACTGCACAGACACACAAGCAGGCAAAACACCTCCACACATAAAATGTAATATGTGTGCACACCTATCTACATATGTGTGTGTTTATGTGTGTGTGCACACCTATCTACATGTGTGTGTGCACACCTATCTACATATGTGTGTGCTTATGTGTGTGCATGTGTGTGTGCACACCTATCTACATATGTGTGTGCATGTGTGTGTGCACACCCATCTACATATGTGTGCTTATGTGTTTATGTGTGTGCACACCTATCTACATATGTGTGTGTTTGTGTGTGCACACCTATCTACATATGTGTGTGTTTATGTGTGTGCACCTATCTACATATGTGTGTTTATGTGTGTGTGCACACCTATCTACATATGTGTGTGTTTATGTGTGTGTGCACACCTATCTACATATGTGTGTGTTTATGTGTGTGTGCACACCTATCTACATATGTGTGTTTATGTGTGTGTGCACACCTATCTACATATGTGTGTGTTTATGTGTGTGTGCACACCTATCTACATATGTGTGTGTTTATGTGTGTGTGCACACCACCTATCTACATGTGTGTGTGCACACCTATCTACATATGTGTGTGCTTATGCGTGTGCATGTGTGTGTGCACACCTATCTACATATGTGTGCTTATGTGTTTATGTGTGTGCACACCTATCTACATATGTGTGTGTTTGTGTGTGCACACCTATCTACGTATGTGTGTGTTCATGTGTGTGCACCTATCTACATATGTGTGTTTATGTGTGTGTGCACACCTATCTACATATGTGTGTGTTTATGTGTGTGTGCACACCTATCTACATATGTGTGTTTATGTGTGTGTGCACACCTATCTACATATGTGTGTGTTTATGTGTGTGCACCTATCTACATATGTGTGTGTTTATGTGTGTGTGCACACCTATCTACATATGTGTGTGTTTATGTGTGTGTGTGCACACCTATCTACATATGTGTGTGTTTATGTGTGTGTGCACACCTATCTACATATGTGTGTTTATGTGTGTGCACCTATCTACATATGTGTGTGTTTATGTGTGTGCACACCTATCTACATATGTGTGTGTTTATGTGTGTGTGCACACCTATCTACATATGTGTGTTTATGTGTGTGTGCACACCTATCTACATATGTGTGTGTTTATGTGTGTGTGCACACCTATCTACATATGTGTGTGCTTATGTGTGTGTTTATGTGTATGCACACCTATCTACATGTGTGTGTTTATGTTTGTGCACACCTATCTACATATGTGTGTGTTTATGTGTGTGCACCTATCTACATATGTGTGTTTATGTGTGTGTGCACACCTATCTACATATGTGTGTGTTTATGTGTGTGCACCTATCTACATATGTGTGTGTTTATGTGTGTGTGCACACCTATCTACATATGTGTGTATGCACGGGAGCATGCGGGTGGAGGTCAGAGGACAGTTGGCAGGAATTGCTTCTCTTTCCGCCATGTAAATCACTGGACTTGAACTCGCGCCATCAGGCTTAGTGGCCACTGCTCTTACACGCTGAGCCACCACACTGGCCCTTTTTCTAACTGTTTTTGGTTTTTCGAGACAAGGTTTTTCTGTGCAGCTCTGGCCGGTCTGGAACTTGTTCGGGCTAGCTGGGAACTCAGAGCCTGTCTCTCCCGAGTGCTGAGATTAAAGCCTGCCCCACCGCTGCCCAGCTCTAGTTTTGATTGTTTTAACTTTCACTGTTGTCAGGGGTTTCTAACTTTTTAAATTTCCTTCCTTCCTTCCTTCCTTCCTTCCTTCCTTCCTTCCTTCCTCTTTCCCTCCCTCCCTCCCTCCCTCCTTTCTTTTTTTGAGATGGGGTCTCTCTGTATAGTCCTAGCTGTCCTAGAACTCACTATGTAGACCAGACTGGACACAAATTCACAGAGTTCCTCCTGCCTTAACTTCCCCTGGCATGTGTCACCACACCCAGCCTTGTCCATTTTTTGATGTGGCAATATGATGTTGTCATCTACAGCTGTTTTGGGCTGCCTTCACAGCTGTCCTGAGGTGGACTCAGCCAATGGGCTGCAAGCTGGATACACCTGTGCATTCTGCATAGTCTCATCTCTACCCTGTCCTTCCTGTCCCTCACTCATGAAGTCACTGTCACCCCAGGTCCCATGGACCATTTCCCCTCCTGGTGACAAACCCCACAAGGGATCGTCCTGATTTTTCCCACCTACTAAGCTGGGAACCCACTGATTTGTTATCTCTTTCCTGTCCCTGGTCTATAAGCCTCAAAGCCAACAGGAAGTCCCACCCAGGGGGCAACATGCAACGAGGTCCTTTCTTCCCTTCTACCTTCTCTCTTGCTAGCTGGCACCTGCACCCATGCACTGAATCTCCTCAACTAGAGAGACAGAACCATACAGGATCCCACTCCACTCACCAATCTCATTGCCCAATACTCTAAGAGGTCCCTCCACACTTGTTCCCGTCTGCTGTCCACGTGAGGATGGCAGCTCCTCCACCCCAGCCTACGCCGTGGTGCCCGGCACAGGGTCACTCCCCACCCTCTCCTCCACCCCTGCGCCCGCTGAGTTCGGTCAGTGGTGATGCACACAGAGCTCTCAGTTTCAGGGAACCACAGGCTAAGTGCAGGAGTGCAGGTTGCCCTCAGCTCTCAGGCTGATGACTTTAATGGCCCGATAATGGCCTCTGCCAACTGTTGCACACCGCGGCCTGAGTGCTCTTTCCAGAGTGCCATTGTGAGCATGCCACTTCTCCGTTTCGAGTTCTCCGTGCCTCTCAATGGCTTCAGATTTAGAAGCAAATAAAACCCCAGAATGCACCTCACTTTCACCTACAAAGCACAGGGCTTATTTAGCCGTCTCTGGCTTTGCAACAGGTGATCCGCCTTAGCCTACACACACGAAACAAACCAACGTCCCAGCTCTTTACCCAGACTTTCCCTAACCCACCCTTCAAGACCTAGCTGGCAATGTTGCCCCCTCCCCAGCACACCTTGGCTGTGGCTCTCACTAGCCCTCTCGAATTGTTTTACCCATATACAGAGCAGAGCTCTCCCCCCCGGGCATGTGCCTGGCAAAGGGCCACTGCTTTCTATTCTCCTCTATCCATTGGCCCTGCCGTCCCACCTTCTGGTCCCCAAAGCCCAGGCCTTCCCCTGCCCCAGCAGTGAGAACAGCCCTCCCACCTCAGGGCCCATACCTGCTCACTGATAAAACGGAAACCCCGGTCAGGCCGCTCACACTCGTAGGTCTCTCCCAGGACGGGGTTAAAGGGCTTGCATCCTGCCCGGTGGTACGTGGAGGAGTAGGCAGAGACAGCAAAGGCGGCAATGTACACCTGTGGGAAGGCCAAGGAGGGTGCCACATATGCAAGGACACCCCAGGAAGGAGACAGCAGCCCACTGCAAGCAGAGTCTGGGGTTTAGACGTGGTGCTTCAGCACCAGGGACCCACCCTGGCAGGATTTGGGAAGACAGACAGAACCCCAGGGAGGAACGGGTGACTCTGGGTGGGTACCATGCGCTCGCAGGGGTCGGTCATGCGGCTGGCCTGGTCCAGGAGGTTGCTATACTCCAGCTCCTCGCAGAGTCTCTGCAGTGTGTTGAGCGGCTCGTTGAGTTGCACAGGCATCGACACCTTGGACAGGTCTTTGCCGATGTTGTTGCGGAGGATGTTCCACAGGCTCACATCTGTTCCAGGCCCACTGGCAGCTGGCAGGCAGCGGCGGCGAGGGGGCCCTACAGCAGGCCCTGGAGCACACGCCCGTGGGCCAAGGCAGTCATTTTAGTCTCCTCTGAGACACTAGTGCTCCAGAGAAGCCAGGCCCACTGCACAGGACTGCCTCCTAAACTCCTGAGGCATGCTGGCATTGCCTCCTGGGGCAATGTTGGATCCGCCTGTTGTGAGCCCCGGGACGGGCAGCAGAGCTGAGAACCACCCAGACAGCACAGCGCCACCACTGTCATGCACAAGAAGCTGGGCCTAAGCCTCAACCTTGCCTCTGTCCCCTGATGAATAAAACAGAAGCTGGGATGCGGAGCATCTGCTGCCCTCCCCGCAGTTTTGTACAGGGACAGGATCTCCTTGGGTCTGCGTTCACTGTGTATCTGAGGATAATCTTGATCTGACCCTCCCACCTCCACCTCCCGAGTGCTGGGATTCCAGGCCTGTGCCACCACTCTTGGTTCGGGGGGCTGAGCCCAGGGCTTTGTACAGATAAGGCAAACACTCTACAAGCCAAGCTAAACGTCCCCCGTCCTCAGCCCCTTTTCTAGAAGAAGAAATAAGGTGGGCAGTGGTGTCCCCAGCCTTTAATCCCAGCACTCAAGAGGCAGAGGCAGGCGGATCTGAGTTCGAGGCCAGCCTGGTCTACAGATCGAGTTTTAGGACAGCTAGTGCTATACAGAGAAACACTGTCTCAAAAAACCCAAACCAGCCGGGAGGTGGTGGCGCACGCCTTTAATCCCAGCACTCGGGAGGCAGAGGCAGGCGGATCTCTGTGAGTTCAAGGCCAGCCTGGTCTACAGAGTTAGTTCCAGGACCGGAACCAAAAGCTACAGAGAAACCCTGTCTCGAAAAAAAAAAAAAAAAACAAAACCAAAAAGTTTAATTTAATTAAAATTCAAAAAAAGAGAAAAGAAAGAAAGAAAGAAAGAGAAAAGGAAATGGGTTCTGGAAAGTAAAGTGATGGGCCCAGGGCTACTCTGCTAAAAGCCCAAGCAGAACCATCTGTCCCCCCTGTCACAGCCTACTGAGCCATCCCACACTGCTGGAAGGAAGGCCAGCGCCATCCCCAAGCCTGGTCAACCTCCCAGAACAGCCCCCAAAATATTCCCCAGCTCATGGTTCCAAGGTCAATTCTGGAATCAGTACCCAAAGACAAAAGCCCACCAGACACAAAGGACTGCCTCTACATGGCACCCGGACCATGAGCCAACAGCTTCTCCACACACACTCCAGTTCACCCTTGGCCCCCTGCCTACTCGTCCAGTTGGTACCTTTCTGACAGCGGTCGGCTCCCCTGAGGTCCAGCACCTCCTCAGACAGGCTGGTGGTGATCTCACTAGCGCACGACTCCTCCTCCTCAGAACCCTGAACAGGGAGAGTGGATAGGTAGGGTAGACTAAATGGCAATGCCCAGGACCTGGCAAGAATACATCAGTTAACTCTTTGATGAAAGAGAAAAGACTGGGTGAGGAGGACTTTAGGCCCTAAGATATCATCCTGTACTTGATTGGTAGAAAAGAGCTTGCTCCGGGTGGTAGTGGTACACACCTTTAATCCTTGCACTTGGGAGGCAGAGGTAGGTGGATCTCTGTGAGTTCAAGGCCAGCCTGGTCTACAGAGTGAATTCCAGAACAGCCAGGGCTACAGAGAGAAACCCTGTCTCAGGGAAAACAAAACAAAACAAAAAACCAAAAATAAAAAACAGAGCTTGGGAACTTGGCAAGACATAGAGAAGAGGGAAGTTGAGGGGGACTGAGATTCAGAGTCTGGGGACATGGGGGTCAAAGGACCGTGAAAGCTGACGTGGGATCGTGGGAAGATGACTTCAGAGACCACAGTAAGGTAAGGCGTGGCAAACTGGGAGAAGAGGTTCTAAGAGCCGCACAATGGGTAATCTCTCAGAGATAGTTGCCAAGGAGGCGAGAAAGGACACAGGAATCTTGGGACCCCAAACCCATCTTCCCCACGTCCCTCCACTCCTGCTACCGTCTTCCCCTCCCCTCACCTCGTTCTCGGAAGAGCTGGCGGAAAGGAGAACCTCGCAGGCATCAAAGAACTCCGTGTGGGAGTCAGCGAGGGACAGCACACTGCTTTGGGAGAGCTGGGGGGTCAGCTCTCGGCCTTTCATGTACAGAGCTTCTTGCTGTGGAAGACAGATGGACCTGAGACCTCAGAGGCCATCGGAGTGAGAGTTCCCAGAGAAGGAACACACACACACACCGCACCAGACTCAATTCCTGCCAAGCAGGAGAAGTACCAGAGGGGAGGAGAAGGGTGAAGGGAGAGGGAACAACTTGGACTTGGGAGAGGTGGCACCAACAAAGCCTGGCTTCAAACCCTTTTTTCCTGCGCTGGCCCACTCAGCCTGGACCCCCACCCCACGAACAGGTTCAGCTGTGTCCCCAGCTGGAAGATTAGAAGACTGAGACCCAGAGCACACAGCTGGCATGCATTCGGACTCTAACTCAGCCTGGGTACAACTAGGGACCATGAGCCCATCGACTGGATTCTTTGGGTTTTAGCTGTATGATGCAGACATGTCCAACTGGTGGTCCGTGAGCTCTGCCCGACAGAATGCAGCCAAGAACAGCTATGAATCCAGTCCAACGCAAAATCATAACTTACTTAACACATCGTTAAAAAATTGTTGGCAATTTTGTTGTCGTTATTGTTAACTTCATTATATGGTTCTGGAGTGTGAATTTTGTACAAGACAATGCCATGTTGCAATGTCAAAAGGCTGGACTGGCCCGGTAGAAGGTAAGAACCGATGCCTCATAGGCTCTGAAGTCAAAATTCTCAGGGGCTGGACATGTGGCTCAGAAGCAGACTGCTTGCCTGGAAGGCTCAGGGCCCTAGCTTCAAGGCTCAGTACTGCAAACCAAACACGACGTGAGGAGATACAAGCTGCCTGGAGGACCCACCAAGAGAACCGTGATGCTGTGTAAGAGCAAGGCAAGCTGGATCTCCTCCCACCCCTCCCCCACCTACTTCCAGACAAAAATCAACCCTGTGCTCTGCCCCTGGCCCTCACCCCTGGGAGAGAGCCAGCACCCACTATCCATCTTCGATCCTCACCTCCTCCGGGTTGAGGGAACTGAAGGAGTCTGCCGTGGTGTCTGAGGAGATGGAGAGTGAGTGGAGGCGTCTATGACCATCTGGGGCCTCAGAGACCTGAGGCAGAGGGTGAGCAACCAGGGTGGGAAAGCAAAATCCTCCCCACCTGCCACCCTCACCCACTCAGGACAGCCTCTGCCAACCCCTGAGCCCTGGCACAGATTTGCCGAGGGGACCTGCAGTCCCATCTCGGTCTCCAGTCAGCGGCCATGTCCCTGAGCTCACCGCCATCTGTGACAGCTCTGAGCCCTGATGCAGGTCTCTCAGTCGATCCCGTTCTGTGGTGAGGGCAACCAGGACGCTGCTAAGGGAGTTGTGCACTGCCGGGGAAGGCCAGACGTCAGACCCTTCTTCTCCTGACCTCTTGACCCACTTGGGGCTACCACCCAGCCTGTACTTACCCTTTTGGGCCAGGGCCCAGAAACTGCGCTGCAGGTGGGCATAGTCTGGAGGTGGCAGCCCACGGTGGCCGGAAGAGTCCCGAGACTCCAGGTACCGAGACAGGTTGGGAACAGAGCCATGGAGACGACCAACCTGGCAGTGAACATGAGGGGTGAAGGGACAGCTTCCTGATGTCCAGGGCATGGGATCCCTGCAACTTGAGGCTTGGACCCCCATCTCACCCGTCCAATGGTGTCATCTTTGGCAAAGCCCTGTGTGCACCACATGCGACTCGTCCGTTTTCCCTTCTTGGGTCTCTCAGTTGTCACCGAGGCCTGGCAAGTTGAGGAGTAATTTCACTCACAGGGTTGGAAAAAGCCATGGAGGAGAGCACAGATCACCAGGCACATGGGCATGGCATGCCGGCAGTGACCCAGACAGAAAAGAAACAGCCTGGAGGCTGCTGAAACAAGGATGAGGCAGGCAGCCCTGTCCCCCAAAGTGACAGGGATGAGGGGCCCAAGCAGTCTCTGCCTCCTCCCTTGACCCTTACCTGGTGTGTGGGGATCACAGGGGCGGAGGGGATTCGGTGTAGGGACTCCAGGCTCTGAAGGAGTCTGTGTAATTCCTGGAGCTTACCCTGGCATTCTGAGAGCGCTGGGGGAGAAGGAAGGAGGGGACATTGCTCTCCTAAAAGTACCGAGGTTTCCAGTCTGTCCTATCCCTTTTTTTCTATCTAGTTGGCACCCAGGGGAGTCACTGTTTCCTCTCTTCAGGAGCTTAAATCATTTCCAGTCTTACGGCACAGCCGCTTCTGATTGTCTGGGAGGCCAGTAGTCTACCCCACCCCATCTGCAGACTACCCCCTACCTCTTCTGCCTGTGCCCAGACTGGGTGTCCTTACTATCTGCCTCTCCTTATTTATACACACTACCTTGTCTGGGTCACTATCTCGGTCTCCGGCTGCAGGAACTCAATTCTAGGGCACAGTCTTTCCCTGTTGCTAATCAGAAATGTTACTGCATTGGCCTCAGGCAGGACTCTTCAAGTGAGCTGCGTGCTTAGGGCATGTGCCTACTATCGTCTGCAAATTGGGGTTCCTAGGGGCACTAAGAAGATTTTGATCATCTTGGAGGCAGAGTGTGTTTTCCCCAGAAGAGGGGGTCCCTCCAAAGAAGTGATGGAGATAACATTTTCCCTTCATGTTGCTACTGCCCAGACCTGAGAACGTGGGCCCTACCCACAGAGGCCCTGGGGTCAAGGACCCTTACCATGAGAGCAGCGGTCTAGCCCATCACTGTCCCTCAGCCAGGATGACACTTTCTCTCGAGGGCCAACCCCAGGTAAGGCGGAGGCACTACCTGCTGTTAGCATCTGGGTACCAGGAACCTGTGGGAGTAAGCCAAGGGTCAGGAAAGATGGTGCCCAGCTCTCTGGGTCCCAGTTCCCCACAGCCTCCATCCTTAAATCGTCACATTAGCCACCCTCACGCCAGGGCCCTTCTTACCTTCCGATGAGTGGCACCGGGCATGTCCAGGCGCTGGGCCAAGCGATGGGCTCGGAGCTGGGCCACCCAGCTTTGGAACAGGTCCTGGGATTTGATCTGCAGAAATGATGGAGAGAGATAAGAAGGGAGGGGTTGCTTTCCAGGAGCAAAACATCAGGTCTCTGATTTCCAGGCAAGCAGGGAATTTCCCTAGAGCACCCAGTTTATACAAAACCCTGTTGCAGACAGAGTACAATGCCCCAAGCATCAGAGCTCCGAGGTGTGTATCCATTCATATAGCAGCCAACCATGGGAACAGGCCCACTCCTGCCTGCTTCACACGATTGAGACGTTCTTCTTGTCAAACTCAGAGAACCCTTAGCGTCTATGTTTGTGCTCCGGCACCTATGCCAGGCTAGTGCCCAGAACACTTTGTTCCCAGGGATGTCACCTTTAGGTGGTAGATGTTGTCTTCTGTGTCAAGGTCAATGCGCTGGGCCTTTTTGTTGATGGACATGACAGACAGCCGGACATCAATGGAGCCATGGAGCTTCCCCTTGGCAATCTGGAGTGGAGGGTTGGTGGAAGACAGGGGACTGCCTTGAGGTTCCCAGAAGCACAGAATCACCATCTCCTTGAGGCCACTCAAGACTCACAGGCCAAGCACCGCAAGTCACATATGAAAGGGCTCATTCATCACCTCGTGTACATAGAACACTATGCTGTGCCCAACTTCATGCAGGTCTGAGAAGTCATCAAGTAAGGAGAAAATACTGCCACCCCTGGAGCTCTATGTGGTGAAAAACAGAACGCCCTTCGGAAGGACCCTGGAGGCTCCACCCTGTTTCTTGTTCCCAGCACAAGAAGAGGACAAGGACAAGGGTGACAAAGCCCCTGGGCACTTAGTTTGCAATGGGCATCATCCAGATAACGGCACGGGTGGCTGAGTGTGCTCCCTACCCCATCTCAGATAACGGCACGGGTGGCTGAGTGTGCCCCCTACCCCATCTCAGATAACGGCACGGGTGGCTGAGTGTGCCCCCTACCCCGTGTCAGCAAGGAAGGAGGCTGAGGGCCAGGGAAGCAGTTGTCTCATGATATTTTGGGCTCTAGGAGCCACAAAGAAAACAAAAATGCACACATGCTAATATCCAACGGTAAAAGGTACAGTTTCTACATATAAACTACATACCATGGTTGCACCCGTTAGCCATTCCTAGACGACTTCTAATACCTAACGCCATGTCAATGCTGTGGGAATGGTGAGTCTAGTGTTTAGGGAATCACAGCGAGAAGAAAACCTGCATGTGTTCAGTACAAATATACTTCCTTTTTTAAAAGATTTATTTCTTTATTATGAATACAACATCCTGCCTCCATGTATGCCTGCAGGCCAGAAGAGGGTACCAGATCTCATTACAGATGGCTGTGAGCCACCATGTGGTTGCTGGGAATTCAACTCAGGACCTCTGGAAGAGCAGCCAGTGATCTTAACTCTGAGCTATCTCTTTAGCCCCACAGATATACTTTCAAAGTGTGTGTGTGTGTGTGTGTGTGTGTGTGCGTGCCTGTGTGTGCACATGTGTGTATGTGTGCCTTGTGTGTGCGCACGTGTGTTTAAATTGTTGACTCTGCAGATGTGGAGCCCAAGGATGCAGAAAGTCAACAGTAACTTGGCGGAGGCTGCTGAAAAGTGGAACTGAGTGAGATTCAGACTCCGCTCCAGCTAACTCAAGGCTCCAGCCACCTGCTCCGAACATCTGGCACAGGCTCCCCCCACACCCCCAACCTGGAACCTGACTTACGTCTTGTCGTGTTGTGGCATAGTGGAGGATCCCATCCTCAAGCACAAAGTACCTCTGTACGGAAGGGGCAGGAGCAGGCAGCCAAGAGCGTGGCGTAGGGAGAGAGCAAACACACATAGTTGCCTTCTCCTGCAGCACGCATGAATGCCCGGGCTGGCCAGCAGTTCCCACAAGTAGCTCCTCCCTTGCCCTGACACCCTACCTTGTGCCAGCCCTTAAGAGGCCACTTCCTCTTCTTCAGCAGGTGTCCTTCCTGTCTCTCAGGCATGATGTCCTCTGCCCCCAGTCTGCCCCGAGGATCCTCTACCACCTCCCACAGCTCGGAGGCCTGGAATCCAGGGTAGATGGGGGGCAGCAGCTGGTTAGCCTGCCACCTCAGCCGATCCCCCAGGGACCCAGGGTAGGCCCAGCCACCACTGCTTTCTACTCAGACCTGCTGGGTGCTGCTGGGCTTTGACGATTGAGTGCTCTCAGTCAGGGAGGGAGTGTCTCTTTCCTGGAAGTCCATGAGGAAGGAGAGGGTACTCCCTAGTGAGGAGGGCAGAGCAGGGGGGCAAGGGAAGGGTGTCACCTTGTCCTGGGAAATCCCTTGAAGCAAAAGAGAGACCCATGAGTATGACCCTGCTGTCATGTTCCCCACCGCTGGTCCTTCCTGCCCTAAGATCCACATCCCCCTCTTGCATGCCAACCCCACACCCCCAGAATGCCTTGACACCACCATGGACCTCGCCAGCAGCACCCAACTCAGCCCCCACTGTGGCCACTGCTAGGGGGGTAAGTTAGCACTCAGTATATGGCTCTACCCTGGACATACACCCCAGAAATCCAGGAAATGTTGGTTCCTTGGGGTTGGGGAGGAAAGAAAGAAGAAGGTCTAAGAAGAGATGGAAGGACTCAGAGACTAGGCGGGCAAGAGCTCCTCAGTTCAGCTGCCTTTTCCTCTGGAATCTCTTTGCCTACTTCTACAGCTTGGCCACAACTGCCCTGCAGACCACCCCTTAGCTGCCAGTGCTTCTGCTCCCATTTTCTGCACAGGGAAACTGAGGTCTGAAGCAGTCCTGTTTTCCCACGCCTCCTTGCTCCAAACGTGCCCCGAGGATAACCACCTTGGGTCTTTTTCCCTGCTCCTCCATCTACCACGTTAGTCCTCTGTGCTCCTGAGAAGCACCTCCCACCCAGCAGGTGCAGGACCCTGGCTGGCTGAGACACTGTGGGTGGGAGAAGAGGTGACCAGGAACATGACCAGGTCTGTCCAGGTCCCGCGGCAGTGCCCACAGGCGCCCTTGGCACTGGTTCTGGCTGTCCTGGCTCCGCCGGGAGATCAATAATGCATGAGGCTCTGTGTGTGTGTGTGTGTGTGTGTGTGTGTGTGTGTGTGTGTGTCTGTGTGTGTGAAGGGGGAGGGGACTGGAGGGGTGATGTTGTCCTGTGTCTGGGGAAGCAGCTCAGAGCTTATGCAGCTAGCAAGCACCTGAGGAGTTAAGGCCAGAAGGGACAGGGAAGAGGCAGTGGAAGTGTGGCCAGGAGGTCACAGCAGAAGGACCCAGACTGTAAGAGGCTGACCCAAGGGGAAACTCCTGCATTTGACCATTTGAAGTTTCCAAACTCTTCCGGTGTTTGGGTGTTTCTATGCCCTTGTCCGGGCCCCTAGGACCTGGGCCATTCGCTGCTGGCTCTCAGCAGAGGTGGGAGGTGTCTGGCAGTAGGAAGGAGATGAGCCAGGTGAGTGTCCCCCTAATCACCTCCATTCTCAGCCTCTTCACTGGAGGAGCAGACCCTCCAGCTCCAGAGGAGAGGAAGCCCTCCCAGTAATGTCAAGTGGTGCCAGCAAGGAACCCTTACCCTAGAGTCCATGGACGCCCTTGCTTCTTGGTCCTCTTGGTCCGTACACTGATCCGCCTCTGAGTCACTGTCCCCGAGTCGCCAGCTACCTCTTCACAGAGCTGAGCAGTGGCAGCAGCTGCTGCAGGAACCAGGAAGGAAGGAGACGTCGGAGCCTTCCCTCCAGCCGGATCTCCCCACCTGCCCCTCCCCCGTCGCCTCCTCCCGCCAAGCTCCGGGCAGCCGCTCAGCTCTGCCCCCCTGCTCCCGGGAGGACTAAGGACCGAGTGGTACCGAATGACTTGGAATTGAGGGGCGCAGTCCCCACTGGGCATAGTTCCACGTGAATCAGAGGACTGGAAAAATGCTGGCTTCCAGCCACAGGAGGTAAAAGATTTATTCATTCAGGCGTGCGTGGCCTTGACCCTGGGAGCACTCAAGGCCATTTCCTGATTCCACCGGGCCTCTCGGTTTACACCTGAAATAGAAGGCGCATTTTGGACTAGCAAAGATATCAGGTTGACTGTGTAGGGACAAAGATGTCCTCCCAACTCACACCACCCCTGCCTACTCTGGGACGGGATATGACAAACTATGCCAGAAGCATAGTCAGCAGGCCACTGGAGGGACAAGGGACAGCTGAAAACCCAGAGGCTATTCACTGCTAGGATGGCCTACCAGGTCGGCTGTGGGGCTCAGGAGAGGCCCGTGCAGTGAGTGTCTGGGGTGGGACCAGCTATGGGGCGGTCACAGGCTGGTTGTTGTTATAAAGGAAAGCCAACTTGGGGGTCCCTCCTCTGACCCTCAGACACCTTTACCCACTGCGGGAACACTAAGTTCAGTTGCTGAAGTAATCAAGAATTGGCTCTTGAGAAATACCTACAATTCATCCAAACCGACATGCTCTGACTGACAGGCTTGGTTCCTAAGAAATGGTGGCACCACAAGCAGATGTGGGTGTGAAGGCTCTACTATGGCCTTAGAAATGATGTGGATCACTTGTCTGCTCCACCTTGTCAGACTCAGGGATACCTGGTGTCTGGGCTCCCTTTAGAACCTCAGCCAGCATGGATACAGCCTTCCAGGAGGGAGTGGGCAGCACCAGGTAGGCCTCTGGAAGCACTGGGCAAAGCTGCTGACATTCAGAGCCTCAAGGGCCTTTTAAATGATTGAGCATCCCTGGGCATCCGCAGAGCTGGGCTCGGTAAGAAGCTGGTCCTGGCCCAGGCCAGAGGATAGCTGCTGCAGATCTCCAACCCCAGTGTCTGTCCAGGACTGAAGATGCTATGGCTTGGCTCCAAGTCTGGGAGGAAGGCTGAGGAGCCACTCCCTCATTCAACACCACCCATTCAGAATGTGTTCCGATCAAGGGCAATGCAGGCCACAGGCTAAGCACCTCCCCAAGACCCAGGGAAGGTCTCCTGCGACAGCACCCCAAGAGCCGGGAAGGCCTCCTATGACAGACCCCCAAGAGCCGGGAAGGCCTCCTATGACAGACCCCCAAGACCCGGGGAAGGCCTCCTGCAACAGCCCAAGACCCGGGGAGAGCCTCCTGTGGCAGCCCCCAGAGCCCATATTAAAAGTGAATTCTAGGCTGGGGCATGGTGGAGCATGCCTTTAATCCCAGCACTCGGGAGGCAGAGGCAGGTGAATCCCTGTGAGTTTGAGGCCAGCCTGGGCTATAATTCCAGGATAGCTAGGACTGTTACACAGGGAAACCCTGTCTCGAAATACCAAAAAAAAAAAAAAAAAAAAAAGTGAATTCTAGCTCCCCCAGATTTTTTGTGCCACCAGCCACAGCCTTCATGAGGACATGACATCTGTAAGGGCAGGTGACAAGGGAGAAGGGTTTTTAGGAAGGAAAGCGAGAATTCAGAGATGGCTTGAGATAACCCAGAGAATAACCATAAGATGAAGAGTCCAGGGCTGGAGACTCGGCTGTCAGCACCTGTTGCTCTTCTGAAGGACTCGGGTTTGATTCCCACCCACACTGTGGTTCACCGTCACCAGCAACTCTAGCTCCAGACCTGATGCCCTTTCCTGAACATAAGTACGAGGCACACACGTGGCAGAGATTTAAACTTAGGCACAGTTTTACACATAAATCTTAAAAGACAAGAGTCCATAAAATATATTTTATTTTTATCACGAAGAAGTTTTCCCACCCCTTCCACAGCCCAGCACACCCCAGGGCGGGACACTGAGCTCTGAGCCCACCCAGGATCCGCTCCTGGGTAACTTTATGAAGAAGTTCTGCTATGGAAAATTGAGGCTTCGGGGAATCAAGTTCAAGGCCTTATCCAGGACTTCAAACTCTGCCCTTTCCTAAATGGTAAGGAGCTGGCACCTGTGTTTAGTACAGCGCTTGGCAGAGGATTCAGCAGGTGCCATTTACAAGGTCCATCATGGCATGCAGAGAAACCAAGAGGGTGGCTGGGAAGACAGACAAGGGACAGTGGCCAAGAGGGCTGGGCGAAATGATCGTCATCCTCTGCTCTGTGTCTGGAGAGCTGAAGGAGGCTGTCCCTATCAGGTCCCTAGTCGGGATGACTAAAGACAACGACTTGTGAATCTGAAGACAATGGACAGCCTCATTCTGAACTGGAATTTTTCTCTATCTTCAAGAGGCCTGTCCCCAAGTCACACATGCAACACCTGCACTTCAAATTCTTTTAGATCTCTACTAGACCACAGGGACGGAGCTAGGTACAGCAGGCGGGCTATGATTCTGGAGCGGGGTCAGGAGGAGGGGGCTTCCCACTGGCTGGCGTGGCAGCCTCGTCCTCGTGTTGCTGTTTGACATGCTGATCCAGCAGGGAAGTCAGCTGGGCAGGCTGGTGCTGAAGCAGGTAGCAGGTCTGGGCCACAAGGCAAGTGAGTCCTCCAATCAACTCCCTTTGCAGCAGGTCCAGGCTAGGCAGCTTGGCATAGTCTACGAGCCCCTGCCTGCTGAGGATGGTGTCGTCAATGCAGCCACCTGGAAGACCGCAGGGGCATTGGGTTCCTGAAAGAGCTCTTCTTGAGACATCATCCCAACCCAAGAACCTGCTCTCCAGTGCCCTCCCCCCTTCCAGCTGGCCCTAAAATCAGGGTCACACTTGTGCCTCACCCCATTTCTGCTGTTGGGCACCAATCCCCTCCTCCTTCCCTGAAAACAAGCACCTGGTCTCACACACCCTAACTTCTTTGGAGCAGGCTCCTGGAGTGCAGAAATGAGCTGCCCTCTAAATGGCACAGATGCACAGTGATGGAGATGGACGGGCTGCCACCTACACGACACTACCGTGTGTCTAACCACTCAACTACACACTTACACACCGGGAGGATGGTGTATCCCATGCTGTGTGTATTTTGCAATGAAATACTAGGGAAAGAAAACCTTGGAGTGTCAGGGGCGTGACTGTAAATATAAGTTCCTAGGAAATCTAAATCTGAATTTTCTGGGGCCACAAGGAGTCTCCTCTACAGACTGAACCCCAACACAATGGTCACAGCACTGGTCCTCAGCCCTTTTTATTTGAGATACTTGTTTCCTTATTATTTTTCAGTGTTTTTACTTATTTATTGTGGGGGCGGGGAGGCGTGCACATACCACTCAGTTCTCTCCTCCCACTCTGTGGGTCATGGCAACTGAGCTCAGATCCTCAGGTCTGGCAGCAGGACCTTACCTGCTGAGCCACACTGCTGGTCTAAGAGATACTGATACCTTCACCAGTACCCACCACCCGACAGGTAAGACTCAGAGGGCCCGATGCCCCCTCCCCTCACTGGGAGACACCCTTGCTCCCGTTCCTCCAGCACAGAAATGATGTGGGGCGGTGACACAGCACAGGTATTCAGCGACACATCAGTCCCCGAGAATCATGGTGACTCAGGCCTCATCCACCAGAGGCTCTGCCACCCACCTACCTCACCCCAGCTCTAACCAGCAGGGCTGCCCACTCACCGAGCAGCGGCAGAAAAGGAACACTCTTTAAGATCCGCACCATTTCCTTGACCTTGGGCTCTTCACTGACGAGCAGCAGATTGTGCCCAACAAAAAGGGGTAGCAGGTTTTGGTATTTGGAATCTTCTAGAAAAGGCTTCAGGACCTGGGATCACAGGAAAGAATGGCTATTGGGGGTGGGGCAAGAGGGAAAAGCCACATACCTTAGCCCCAGGCTGTGCTTCAGCGTCTCCTCAGTCCCTACCCACAGTTAGGCACCAGACTAGGTAGCTTGTCTACTAGAACAGAGGTCGGAAGTGTCCTGCAGGAGCAGCAGCTCCCAGGTCTCCTCAGCAGGCACGGGAGGAAGGCAGGCCTGAGTGGGGCAATACCTGGTTGGGGAAGACTTTTATTAAGATCTTGTGTTTCCGCAACTGGTGCCGCAGGAGAAGCTTGTCCTCTGCGCTCATGGCCACGTTCTGGCAGACGGCAATCATCCGGTGGTCTCGAAACACTGCTGCTATGTCCCGACGAAGGAGCTGGATGAGGCCTGACTCCTGCGGCAGGATGGGGTGAGGAGATATAAAGATCTCGGTGTACCATCCCCCCCCCCCCACAGGGACTGGGTGGTCAGTGGTGCCGGAATGCACAGGACTGGGGAACAGGTGGGGCAGCCCGGTCTGAGGCCTACGATGTGGAACACCTCCACCATACACTTTCTGCTTCCACTGAGAACCGCAGGCTTCAGAGAGGGAGTCTGCAAACCTGAGAGCACCCGCCCTTCTCCAGACACCTTGGCAGTCAGCCTGTTACCATAGTTAACAAGAGTTACTTCAATTATAGGCTATAGTAATACAAGCCTGTAAAATGAATTCCAGCTCCTCAGGAGGCTGAGGCAGGAGAATCAAAGGTTAAGCTTGAACTGCAGAGTGAGTTTAAGACTAAATTTTGAAACTTAGTAAGACGGTCTTGAAATAAAAGTTAAAATAAAAGCTCGGGACAGAGTTTGGTAGCAGAACACTTGTCTAGCATGTGTAAATAAACAGGTTCAACTCCCAGTGCCAAACATACATACACACACACACACACATACACACACAAACACACACACACAAACACATACACACATACACAAACACACACACACAAACACACATACACACACACAAACATACACACACACACATACACACATACACACACACATACACACACACAAACACACACACAATTACTTCAATTATCAACATCACCCTGTGC